AATTGTTTGTTCAGCTAGAAACATCTAACTGATCTCTGGATGTGCTAAAGGGCCAAAACACCCGTTGACAGAAACTTTTTCTCTGAAGACTCTCGCCGAACGCTCGTTAACATACATCATACATACATACATACATACATACATACATACATACATACATACATACATACATACATACATACATACATACATGTTTGACAAGCTGATGGTCGTGCTGAAATCTGTACCGGTGTACGACCATATCCCTAAGCCATGCAGGGAGAAGTTCGCACATGATCTGAACGCCTTGCTGACGGCTGTTTGTAATGACCCTGGTGACCCGGCTCACTGGGTTAGACTCCACTGTTTTGTCCCATACGTCTTACAGAAGACTTCCAGAGGGGGTCGCCGGGTCAACCAGGGCAATCTGGTCAACAAGCGTCTAAGCGAATATTCAACTATTGGTCTTGAAACCCTGGTACTGTGCTTTGATGGGTTCAATAATGCCAAATCACAAAAGCATAACCCCGATCGGTGGATCAACGCTGTGTCATCTTGTATTGAACAGGAAAACCTGTCCTCGGCTGTCAGACTTGTCTGTTCGCCGGAGGGCCTGGCGGAGAGCTTGCCGGCCACCTTCGATAAATTATGTTCCATCCACCCAAAAATTCCGGTGGACAGGCGGGTCTTTCCCGCATTGACACCAACGGCTGGTTGCGTTTCTCCCGCCGAGGTGCTGAGGGCCGTTAAATCGTTCAAAAACGGTTCTTCTGGAGGCCTGGATGGCCTACGACCCCAGCACCTTAAGAATGTTTTTTCAGGCCCCTTGCCAATCGACGACACACTGAACTCCTTAACCCAATTCATTAATTTGATCTTATCTGGAGCTTGCCCACTCTCCGTCCGCCGGTTCTTTTTTGGAGGCCGGCTAATAGCTTTAAATAAGAAAGACGGAGGGGTCAGACCAATTGCGGTCGGGAACGTTTGGAGGAGGTTGGCCGGCAAATGTGCCTTGGCCCTGGTCGTGGTCGAACTCAAGACCAAGTTCTACCCGACTCAGTTGGGTGTCGGGATTAAGGGTGGCGCTGAGGCCGCTGTTCATGCGGTTCGAGGATTGGTCACCAACCTCCCCGATCAATGGGGGTTAATGAAACTGGACTTTAAAAATGCCTTCAATGCCTTGAGAAGAGACTCGATGTTGGAGGCTGTCAAACTTTTTTGCCCCAAGATCTATAATTTTTGCCATTCTGCCTATGGCGGAGTCTCTTCCCTTGGCTACCACTCTTGGGTTGTAGAATCGTCCGAGGGGGTATAGCAGGGTGATCCCCTTGGTCCTTTGTTGTTCGCACTAACTTTTCATCCACTCTTAGAGAAAGCTTCGTCCACTTTCGTTTGCGATGATCTGGATGATATCAGCAGAGCTTCGGACGGTCCAACTCTGGCCGATAGCTACAAATATTTGAAGCATAACTCCGCTGCAATTGGCTTAGAGTTAAACATTAAAAAATGCGAACTTCACTGCCAAAGTTTATTTCAGGTGCCACATGCGCTGGCTGAAATACCCAGAGTCGGTGCATCAGAACTGAGTTTTTTAGGCACACCCTTGGTCGAGGGCGATTATCAAATAAAGTTTTTTGACCAAAAGCTCTCTGAGCTTAAATTCGCCCTGGGTCGTGTTTTCTGTCTTTCGGCCCATGATGCCTTGACTATTATCCGCAATGCCCTCAGTTTGCCAAAATTGATGCACTTCCTGCGTACATCTAAACACATTGACCCTTCTAAATTGGGCGAATTTGACGGTGCCCTGCGCACCGCCCTGTCGTCGATTTGCAATGTTCAAGTGACTGACAGTGGTTGGTCCCAGGCTCAGCTGCCGGTGCGATTTGGTGGGCTGAGGTTGCTTAGCGTGGTTCAGCTGGCTCCCGTTGTTTATAATTCTTCTGCCGCTGCCACTCTCGACCTGCAGTCTTACCTGCTCCACCGGTTTTTTCGTTGCCGCGATATTCTTCCTCCAGTGTCCGCCCCGGGAGACCGTACGCACGTCCAAATTTTGAACGAAGAATATAAAAAAATCTTTCAAAATTTGTTGTCTTCATGCGGCGACGACTTTTCCACCGCTCGTTTGTTGGCCATGTCCAGCGTTGCCAGCTGTGGGTGGTTGAGATCGTGGCCTAACACCTCTGTGGGCACCAGGCTTGACGACGAGTCTGTGAGATTTGCCATTGGCTTCAGACTTGGCCTGGTCATTCAGAATAAATACACGTGCCGATGTGGCGCTGGGGCGGACGAGTTTGGGCACCACGGTTTAGTTTGTCGCCTGGGTGGGGGCCGTCAACTACGTCACTCAGCGCTAAACGATTACATTTGTCGGCTCTTCTCCAAGGCTTCAATCCCGGTTCTCAAGGAACCATCCGGCATTTCTGCGCATGATGGTAGGCGCCCGGACGGATGCACGCTAATACATTGGAGAGCCGGCAGATGTTTGGCGTGGGATGTTACGGTCCTTGGCACCCTCGCCGAACGATACGTAAACCTGACAAGTAAAGAATGCGGTTTGGCCGTAGACGAGAAAATGAAAAAATATGGGAACGCCCTCCCCTCGATGGAATTCTTGCCAATATGCATCGAGGTTCTTGGCTCGATGGACCCCAACACCCTTAGATTTCTTAAGGAAATATGCAAAATGATCAGCGTCAGATCAGGCGACAGCAGGGAACTGTTTTTCGCAACTAACCACATTTCGTGCTTGTTGCAGCGGTTCCTGCGTGTCTGTGTGCTTGAAAATATCCAACTGAATGCCGACATGTGCAATTAACGATAAATCAAAGTGTTAATCCATTTGTTACTTGATGTTTGACGGTTCAGTGTCACTCATCATGTTTTGGTTTTAACATACATACATACATACATACACACGCGCTTAAATAACTCGTTTTTTTTAAAAACATTTCTTCATTTTGTTAATGCAAATTTTTATTTTGGCTGGCAATAAATAAACTAATTTTTCAATGAAAAAAAACGAATTCAGAATTTGGACATTGAATTTTCAATTTATTTTAATTTAATTAAATAATGGCAAAAGTATAATAATAATAATAATATTATCATTAATAATAATAATAATAATGTCATATATTTCTACAGCGTGTATCATCTCCTGATATATTGCTCCGAAGTGGCTAGGCTAGGTGAATGTTTAATTGCTACCCTAATACCATGTGGATTGACTTTTTCAGTTGTAGGAGAACATTACTTCGTGACACACACGCACACAAACAACACATACACACACACGTCACACACACACATACGTACGTCACACACACACGTAGGTTTCATAATAATATATCAACCAACCAACCGACCAATCATTTAACCAAAAACTAACCCCTAACCAATTCTATGCCATCAACATTAAAGAACAAAAAATTCCTACACCATGAAAATTTTTCCAATACCACCAACATCTGTGGAGGCATTATGTAGCCGTGTATTGCTTTTTGGCGTTTTTAGCATGATGTTTGCAATTCTTTTATAATTAGGCAGTTTTCCTGATAAGAGTAGATGTGCCTACCTATATGTTTTCAACGAGTTATTTATAGCATCAATGTGGTATTTTTAAAAGAAAAAAAACAGACTCATTAAAAAACAGACATATACACATACACTCACACAAACACACACACACAAACACACACACACACACAAACATACATACATACAAACATACATACATACACACATACATACACACACACACATACACTGACACACACACACACATACATACATACACAAACATACACCCAGATATAAACCTACACGGAAGACATTACGACTGCGTGTTAAATCATCAGTTTCTCAAAAAGAAAAAATCTTGGCAAGAATGTTAAATTTAACTTAGTTATTTGACATTTATCATACGCTTCTAAGAAACTCAAACACACACAATTAATTATAAATTTCTATATAATTATTTATAATATTTAGGAATATTTTTATAACTTTGATAAAACACTTTACACCAAAATCGATTTCCCGTTCATCCATCCAGCTATCACGTAACATTCACCATACCTTTCGCCATACCTTTCACCACGCAGAACTTACCTTTTAAAATCATCGTAACGGAGCATGTAACTATTGTAGTAAGACACGAATACACGCAAGTACGGAAGTATTGAACTTTTGCCACACACACATACACACACATACACACACACGCACACATACACATACACACACATCATAGTGACATTTTTTACAGAGCGTGTTGATATGCATGAATACGCACCAACAATGTATATTATCTGCTAATATGTTAATATATATATATATATATATATATATATATATATATATTTTCCAACACACATACACACACACACACACACACACACACATATATATATATATATATATATATAGAAAAGGTCAAATGATACAAGTTATTTTTAGGAAACTTCAAACAATACATAAATAATACAAAAGAGGCCCGACATGGAATGGCATAACTTATTATGCTTTACATAGTTCGGTGAACTTTTACACAATTATCACACACACACACACATTCACACAGAAACATACGTACAAACACACATATTTACACACACACACAAACAAACAAAACAATATAAATATCATACACATATAAACACACAAACATACGCACCAACACACATACACACAAATGAAACAATATAAACACACATACACATAGACAAACACACACGTTCTGACAGACAGACAGACAGACAGACACTCATAACGGAAGTTAATGTTGTTTGTTGTTGTAAATATCAAATGAACTGGATCGTCATTATTGCCTGCCATATATGTTTTGTGTGATTAACATTATTGTTGCTATTGTATTTATTATTATTTTGTCATAAATATAGCTTAATTAACAAGCAATTATTTTTTCGCGTTTTTGTATTCTTTGGTATTCGTTCACGCCTTATAAATTTGCTTGACTTTTTTTGAAGTTTTATAAAAATTTGGACAAAAAGAAAGCAGGG